TCCGGAAACAACTACGTTGATTAATTTTAAAAATTTATATCGTTTTACAAAAATAAAATAATTTTGTTGTTCGGAGCTAGACCCATAGCTTAACCGCTAAACAATATGAACCAGACCGCACTCGAATATATGCGGTTTTCGGGGATTGGATCGGGACGGGCTAGCTGATTAACATCTCTGTCAGTAGAAACCTGAACATTTCAGAAATAGATGATGCCAACAAATAATATTTCTAATCATTTGTTCATCGTTGCAAATAATAAAGGCCCATTTATATAATAATTTTGCCAAAATTGGGCTCTTAAAATGACTAAAATCTCCCAATTATCATATTTCTTCCAGCTCTCGAGAGGCTTCTTCAGAACACTTTCGGACCCTCTCTACTTTCCCGCCACAGAGGAGTAGCATCATCTTCTCCCCACAAAAACCGCCGGCGATTCCCAATATTCCGACTCACCGGATTAACAAAAAATGGAAGCTCCTCGTCCCGTCGTTAGAAAAATACAGAGGAAGCCGCTCGCGGATTGCACAAACACCGTCTCTAGATCTTCCCAACAGTCATCTTCTTCCTCCGCTACTCTCGTCAAATTCGCGAATCCGAGTCTCACTTCTTCTCTCAAGAGGTTAGTAGATCAAACTACTCTCAAGGAGAAACAACCCAAAGATGTTGATAACTCGGAAGCTGTTACCGGAAACGCTTCTCGATCTATTGCCACGAAATCGAAGCCCGTAACTCGTCGTATCTCTTCCGATCTGGGGTTTCAAGCCTCTTCGCCTTCTCGTACTCGAAAACCGGAAGATGTTAATAATTCGAAGCTTGGTGAAGGAAGCGCTTCCCGGTCTGTTGCCACGAGCGCTAGACGCGTAACTCGCCGTATGTCTACTGATCTGGGTTTTCCGGCTACTGTGCCTTCTCTTCCCCAGAACTCGCGCTCTGATCAAGGTATTGTTACTTACCTGCAATGGGTTTGATCAATTTTGGTTATAGATGATCGATTCCCATCTTCTTTTAAGAGAATTTCAGTTGAATTGAATTTGTGCTCAACTCTAGGGTTTTGGTTGTTGGTTTTGGGGGTTTTTAGGAATTGAAAGGAAGAATGGTTAGATTGATTCTTGAATGGTCACGTTTAGTGTTATATAGTGTTAGAGAACTAGCTGGGTCATAACCATGTTCCTTCAATTTTCAAAATGGCACTAATATTAGCTGAATTGGAAACTGGTATCAAGCTGGTTTCATCAATTGGTAATTTGCCTTAATTGGTTCTGATGTTTAAGAACTTTCTTATGCTTAGGCGTTAGTGACAAGGAGATTACTGAGCCTTACTCAGTTTACACGGTAAGAAGGAAGGCTTCTGGGATGAAAAGGAATAAAGAAGCATCTTCGTCTGGTGCAGTGGCTAACCTTCTTCTTGACTTGATTCCAAGCTCAGGGTATGTAACTCATTTGATGATATATGATTGTTCGGTTTTGGGAAAATAAGAGCTGGTATGGAACATAGTACATGCTACTTGATTTTGGGATATATGTATATTACATGTGGAATCAGGCTAGAACATAGTACATGCTACTTTATTTGTTAATGATGTCTTGTGCTTTTGAGAAGAGTCTTATCAGTATGGATTCTGAGATGAGATAACTGGGACTAGTGTTGAACCTATCATGTCCATAAAATTTTTTTAGCATTTTTGTGGGCTGTTTTATAATCAAGAATGCCTTTGTTAGTTAATTCTCTTTGAAATTTGTATCACAGGAAGCAAACACATCACGCAAGTAAAAACAAACCGACACCCTTGAAGAAAGTGGCTCCCAAAAAGGTGAATTCAGGAAAGCTCTAACTATATACTTATCAGAAGTGTAATTGTTCTGTGTTTCCCTCATTTTTCTGTGGAAAAAGAACTAGTCATTATTTGGGTCTATCGGTTTTATGGCTCTAGCAGATTGTATATCAGTGCATATGTTTCAACATTGATCGGTCACAAAATTGAAAACCAGTGGTACACTTAGTTCAAATATGAATGCCTCTTTCAATTTTATGTATATTCTTCTCTTTTCAAAAGGTAGATTTTGGGATTGTTGTTTAGTGAGATATGCAACTTGTATCTCTCATTATTCATTTGTAGAGCCTTATATCTACTGGTACCATAGAAGTTTGCTCCAATTCTAATTCTCTATTTATGGTTACATTACAGAGGCAGCGAACGGTAAAGCATGAGGAAGATAAAGTGGCTCATGGGGCTTCTCAGGATTATATCGAGCAGCAGAGAGCTTACTTTGCAGAGGTTGATGCATTTGAGCTGCCAGAAGAAGAGGTATCTAGTAGCGACTTAGACTAAGTAAGAAGTGATAACAAGCTTAAGGATATAAATGACACACCATAACCCGTTCGTATCACTGTATAGACACAGGCAATGTATCACTGGTCCCTTAAATACGCATGACAAGCCAACCTTTGTGTACAAACAAGATCTATCGGTTTATATAATATTTGACGTCGTTTTACTCAGAGAACGTTCTTGGCCATGACAGAGAGAGACAAGCTATATAATATACGTCATACCATTACATTCACACATCAAGCATTATAGCACTATTTCTGTTCAATGAGGCAAAAGCAGTTCATAAAACGAATCAAGAACAGAAGTACAGAACAGATTCACAAAATCAAGCTTTGTTCATGTCGTTGATGATGAGAGATTTACCAGTGGATCCATTTCTAGGAACAGAGAACAGAGCTCTCTTCATACTCTCCATTGAAGAACTAAACCCGTTTCTTCCAGTATTGGAGTAACACAGAGTCGAGGTCGGCGACAACCTAAGCTCATCCTCTTTGTAATCAGCGAGCAGGACCGGCGACTTTTTATCACGACTCACTGGTTTCTTCGAAGAATGTAGCGGC